GTTTTTGGTTTTAGATTTAAATTAACTTTTATGGCCAAATTTTAATTTACAAATTATCCCAAAATGTGCAGTAAATTCAATAAATTCTTTTTTTTATTGTCCCTACTGGAATCTACAGTATACCATGTTATATTCAAAACGTAAACAAAATAGAGCTAATGGTCCCCATAGATTAACGTACTTTTTTGGCAGTGTTACACGACAGGTGAAACTGTCAAGTAAAATGGTCTGTCTGTGGCCGAAAACCTATCATGCTTTGCTGTCATAAAAAATATCCTTGCGGACTAAGTCGGCTTGTGTACGTGGCTGTACATTTAAAAACGATGATTTTTCCTATATTTCTGTCTTCTAGATAATAATTTGGAGATATCCATATTTTACTTATCGATCATTTTTGGTGCATAGAAAAATTGGTTATTTTACTGTGAAATATTTAGTAAATATATTAATAAATTATATTTTACGGTAACTGAGCTTATGTATCCCAAAAAATTTATACAAATGTATCAATATTTTGAAAGAAACATTATTTTTATTTCTATAATTTATTAAAATTTTCTAACATTTTATTTTTACTTAGTATACTAGAAAAATTAAAATGTCTAAAGACATAAATAGCATTTATAGAGTATCAGTTATAAACTGTATATTATAATTAATTAAATCTGTCATAGTAAAATCAACAAAATATGTACAAGCCAAAAATGAAGACAAGTATCTCAACCTTATAATAATTTGTTATTGACTAAAAATACAGAAACAGAGCTGATACTAAAAAATGTTCATCTTTTTTGAAACTATGGCATATTTATCTCACAGAGGTATATTTATGACAGAAAAGCACGGCAAGTTTTTAACAACAGAGTAGACGTTTTAAAAGTCAGTCAGAAAAGTTGATAGATATGTATGTAGTCTTAGATTAAATATAGAAAAGATACAGCACAATATCTGGTTTAATACGCACGCAAGATCTGCATGACAAACAGTTGTTGTTTGTTTATCGAAATACACCTTCTTATATTGTGATGATATTGTCCTGAAATGCTGTATCTTTTTATATATTTTATCTAAGGCACAGCCCGTTTAGTACCAGCCAGTCACCTTAAAAAAATGTGTCAAGAATGTTATGACTCTAGCTTTTCATTAACAGTAAGAAAAGAATAGACACCCTTAAGCTTCATTCACAACCTCGAAATTAGTGAAGATTAAATTAGCGAATTCAATTATACTTTATACTTAAGAAATTATAATCACTTACGGTGTTAAAAAAATCAAATTAAAATTAATAGAATATTCTAGCAAAATCTTCCGGTAGTCAGATGTATCCATAGAGAAAGCTAATAATTAGCTTAAAAAACAATAATGTTCTTGTTTTTAACTATACAATTTCTTTTTTTTTCAAACGTCACAAAAGTATCAATTTTTGCGACGTGATTGACAATATAATAAAGTCATTTTAACGCCTAGGCATAAAAGTAAAACACTTTTACGCCCAAGCATAAAAATATGAAAATATATTATTAAGCTGACATAAAGTGTCAAATTCAAAGAGCGTAACCATAGTTTCTCGATATATAATTACATACAAGGTATGACTTATAAATCTTTTTTCTATTATTTGGAACGTTTGAAATTGTTTAAAAAATTATTTACGGTGTTTGAAAAAAAAATAGCATGTTCTATTCGGAGTAAAAATGACTTTCTGTGCCTCAGCTGTATGTCAAACGAACAGCCTCGCCCCAAAAAGTGACATTTTTACTCCTAATAAAACAATATACTATTGGCAGATGATAATATCTAAGGCCAAAATAACATTACTCGCAAATTGTGAAGAAATTAGTAAATAAAAGTTAAAAGATTGTTAACTTTTTCTACTAATTGAAAAATACAACCACTAATTTTAACGTTCTGAACACTTCCATTGAAATTCGAGGAACACACTTCTACGCTAATTGAGTTCACTAATTTTTTCCACTAATTTTGAGGTTTTTAATGCAGCTTTAAACTATGGAGAGTAGAGCTAAGGAGAATCATCTCATATGGGACTTTGTTTGAGGTTAAGTGGTCACCTAAAAGAAGGGGACAATAGAGATTCAAACAATGGCCAGGGTAGCGCTAATAATCAATAAAATTCGAACTTTTGCTACAGCAGCGCCATCTTAAATGTCAATTTTCTATATACAAAGATAATTTTTCTTACCTCTAACTCAAGAACGGTAAACTAATAGGATTGTTCATCCTCATAAGACGTACGTTCGCCTCTTCCCGCGCTTCAGCGGACAGTTGTGACGTCATTGTAGTCCTTGTCATGATAGTGTGTATTATTAGTTGCCTATGGTAAACTTATAAAAATAACAGCTGAGAAATTTTGTGTTAATTATTTTGTCAATTTTAAATGTGAAAAAGTTGTTTTTAAAGTTTTTAGAGCTATAGACTGTATAAACAAGTTCATTTTGTGTTGTGGATTGTGACAAAGTGCTTACTAAGTGCCTACGATATTGTTTATTAATTATTTTAAAGCAAAATATCGAAGTACTCTAAAAAGAATGCCTGCAAAAGGTGATGTTGGGAACTGCTGTTCTTAAAAATGCATTATCCGAGTATTTAATACGATTTATACAGTAAATTTTCTATACTGCATACATATAAGGTGTTTAAATAAATAAACTAAATAATGAACGTTTTGCATCCGGCAACCAATAATGCACGTGTGTGTATTATTGGTTGCCGGATAAGGACTAATAACCATGACAAGGACTACAATGACGTCACAAAGCGAGGAGTTTTCGCATGCACCTGGCAGACACTTTTGGCTGAATGAGCAGTCCTATTAGGTTAACTGTTCTTGCCTGTAACTCTCTATACTTTAAAGATGATTGGTACTGAATGGGCTCGATCTCTGATCTATGGTGACCAATAATATTGAGGTCAGTTAAACGCGTCCTATATGTTTAGAGGTGGCATAAGGGCTGTAAATGAGGTGATAGCTTTGTTTGTTTTGGTGGCCGGGATAGTCGGCTACACGATGAAAGACATTCGCTACAAGTGGCACACGGGACTGACCAGCGTGGGCATAAGCAAGGAGGTGGAGCTGCCGCAGTTCAGGGTGCTGGGCCACCGGCAAAGGCAGAAGGTCATTTCGTTGACGACAGGTAAACAGCAGTTTTGACGGCGAGAGTTGCTGTGACGGTATTTTTTAAACAAAAAGGTCGATACTGAGTCAAATTGAATTTGGAATTTACAGATTTATACATATTTGCCTCAAGGTAGGTTGACACGATCAAAGTGTGCTTAAACGATAGTGTGTATTATTATGCTGCTATACCAGGTGCGTCTCAAAAGTGGATCACCCCCTATAACTTTTTTATTTTTTCAGATAAAAAAACGAGATTTCGCATGTTAATATATGATATAAATTAGGATTGATTGACGTATTCAATTCTTTTTGGCCACTTCCTGTTTTACCGGAAATGACTACAACTTTCCATTTTTAAAGGGCACCTTCGATATTTTTTTACTTTATTCGATAGAAAATGACTTTCTGAAAATCTGAATCGAATGACATATCGTATGTCAACCTTTGACATTTTCGCTTAAAACAAAACTGAATTTTAAATTTCAATCTAGAGTACCATGGCTGTGTTAAAAACACTAATTTTTAATCAATGAGCCTTGGAAAAATAGATTTGACCGTGTAATGTTGTTCGTGTCTTGTCCTGGCCGGTTTAAAAATGCCCAAATCTTATTTTTAATCATATTTCAATTTTTTCAAAGGGAACGAGTTTGGCTCATTAGTATATTTGGAAAAAGCATATTTTTACGAATAATTTGGTACCATACACTTGGTATTCCGTGTCAAATTGTTGTTATAAATTGCATGTTGCAATTTCAAATAAACCATATTCGAAAATGTCAAAAGTTGACATACGATATGTCATTCTATTCAGAATGTCATTTTCTATCGGATAAAGTAACAAAATACAGAATGTGCCATTTAAAAATCAAAAGTTGTAGTGATTTCCGGTGAAACAGGAAGTGACCAAAAACAATTTAATACGTCAATCATTCCTAATTTATGTCATATACTAATATACCAAATCTCTATATTTTACCTGAAAAAATAAAAAAGTTATAGGGGTGAGCCTCTTTTGAGACGCACCCGCATTTTTGTAACGAGCGTATGCTATCGCAAGATACGTTAAGCCGAAACTACCCGAAATAATGCGAACATTGATTTAATATCGAGCGTGCTTTATCGCATTTGTCATGCATTCCTAGACGCTCGATATAATATGCGTTGCGACAAAGTTTTCTATTTTGTTTTCACATTGTTTGTGTACGCTGATGTAATAAGATAAGAAAATACTAAAAAAATAATTAATCATATAATTACCTATGACTAACCAATGAATTAACACCCTCCAAATAACTACGCCAACCAACCCGCCCAACGCTCGATATGAAAAGGAGTTCGGCTCAACTTGTCTTGCGATAGCGTACGCTCGTTACGAAAAGGCCACCCGATATTCTCGATTTTTGTATTTATGGATTTTTGAAAAAGGAAAGACATCGTGTACAAAAAAATTATGTAAAAACTTAAAGGCTTCAATTATTCTAACTATATCACACAAATAATACTTGAAAATATACTTTATCATAAATATCAGTATCCCTTTTTGCTTAAAATATATCAACACAAAAATACAAAATAAAAAAATCTAAATACTACTTTGGATAAAATGCTTTAAAGTGAAACATAAAACACTATAATCCTATGTAGCACCACACCCCACAACAAACCTACAGATCATATCGGCCGCAGTTGCCAAGCTTCTTCAATTATCTTTATTTTTGTTTTCTTTTCACGCACTTGTAATATCTTCGTTGCACATTTGACCCGATCTGTGAGACGTTGACAAGTTTTTTGTTGTGTGTTCGTTTTACGTTGTTTTGTTTGGCAACAATGTTGTTTGGCACACGTGTGTGGCTTGTGATTGCAGTCGGTTACACCATGCGAGACATCCGATATAAATGGAACGAAGGACCAAACTCAGTGGGCGTGTCCAACGAGGTGTCCTTGCCTCAGTTCAAGGTGCTCGGACACCGGCAAAGAGCCATGGAGATATCCCTGACCACAGGTATTTCTTTTTCCACCGCAGATCTGGCCCTAGCTGATAAGATTTTAGTTACTTAACCTCGACGAATTGATAGATTAAAAGTTCGATGGATGTAATCATCGGCACTTGTTAATTGTTTTCTTTATGAAAGATACCGATTTTTTGCTTTGTTTAAGAGCACCGGTTTGTTGTATTTAGCTTATATGTTGTGTTTCACATCAAAAATTACTGAGCTTCATATAAGTATTTTTTCGCAATGTGAAATAATAGAAATAAAATTTTCAGATTTGTAAAAATTGAAAATAATAAGAAACCAGTTCAGAATTATTTAAAAATTAGATTAAAAGGAAATATACAGGGTGGTCTTTACTGTATTCCGGAAACTTTAGCAGCATATTCTGCAGATAAAAATAAGTAAAAAGTTCGTATAAATGTATGTCCGAAAATGCTTAGTTTCGGAGATACAGGGTGTAGAAATTTCATTTTTATTTCGATTTTTTCCAAATAATTTACGAAGTAACGTCAATATTTGGGTGAAAATTGGTGTCTAGGAGTTTTTTGACATGAGAAATTCGATTTCGATGCCAATATGACTCCTACTTGTAGAGGGCGCCACTTACATATTTTTTAACTGGTTTGAAGAGTAATAACTTTTCATCCGTACCTGTATAAAACTACTGAGTAAAAAAATAACCATTTATGACGTTTTCTACGTAAAAAAGGTCTCTTTGTAAAAATCGCTATGAATAATGGTTCTCGAGATATTTGGAATCGAAATTATCCATACGTATCATCATTGACATAAATTTAAACATGTTAACTACTAAATAATAATTATTAGACTGAAATCAAAAATTTGAAATGTTTTTGTACCAAAAATTCAACAAAAACTGTTTCATCATCATTTTTTCGCAGAAAAATTTATGATTAATTTAAAAAAATAAAAATTTCCCAAATTTATTATTTCAGTCAAATAACTATATCTATACTCAACGTTGTTTATTTTTTGTCAAAAATGACATGTATTGACTATTTCCAATCTAAATATCTCCAGAACGGTTGCTCGTAGCGATTTTTACCAAGAGATATTTTTTACGTAAAAAGTCACGGAAATGTATATTTTTTCACTTAGTAGTTTTATACAGGTACGGACAAAAAGTTATTACTCTTCAAAACAGTTAAAACACATGTAGGTGGCGCCCCTTACAAATAGAAGTCATACTGACATCAAAATCAAATTTCTCATGTCAAAAAACTTCCAGACACCAACTTGCATCCAAATATTGCAGTTACCTACTTCAAAAATTATTGAGAAAAATCCAAATAAAAATGAAATCTCTTCACCCTGTAGCTCCGAAACTAAGCATTTTAGGACATACATTTATACGAACTTTTTTACTTATTTATATCTGCAAAATATGTTGCCGAAGTTTCCGGAATACAGTTCGGACCACCCTGTATAAAAAGATTTGCTGTATTAATACTATACTGCATGATTCAAAAGAAAAAAGAAAGTAGTTAGAAACATACAAAATTTTACACACAAAATTACTATTAATCGACATTTATAAAGTAACTTCACTTAACAATTAGACTTGTAATCGTAAATATTAAAAAAGTATTAATAAAAATCCTGAAAATCAAATTTAGATATTTATATTATTATAAATGGATAAATCTCTAATCAAAATTATTTTTATTTGATGTAGAAATTTAAACTGACTGTAGTAAATACGATTATATACAATTTTTTGCAAAAAAATCGATTGTAATTTCATACCTTTAAAAATCAAATTATAATCACCATTACCACTAACAGGCCTTTAACTGAATAAGAAAATAAAAATAATCTTATACAAAAATCGTCATATCTTTGACAACCACCCGAAGAAAATACATCGCATTTTCAAAGTCTTAAACGCAACCCTATCCTAGATCCAATTTTTGAAACCTACCGTTTGTTAAAACAACCCTTTTCATGCCTATCTCAATAAAAAAACTACCAATATACCGGGTGCGTCTCAATAGTTCCTCACCCCCTATAACTTTTTTATTTTTTCAGATAAAAAAAACGAGATTTGATATGTTAGTATATGACCTAAATTAGGATTGATAGACGTATTCAACTGTTTTTGGTCACTTCCTGTTTCACCGGAAATAACTACAACTTTTAATTTTTAAATGGCTCTCCCGGTATATTTTTACTTTATTCGATAGAAAATGACACTTTGAATAGAATGACACATCATATGTCAACTTTTGACATTTTCGCTTACTTTTTATTTATCGTATTTTAAATTTCAATCTAGTTGCCATGACTGTGTTAAAAATACTATTTTTTAATTAAGGAGCCTTGGAAAAATAGTCATTTTCTGTCGAATAAAGTAAAAAAATACCGAGGGTGCCATTTAAAAAGAAAAAGTTGTAGTCATTTCCGGTGAAACAGGAAGTGATCGAAATCAATTGAATACGTCAATCAATCCTACCTACAAATACCAAATTTCGATGCACCCGGTATATAAATAATAACAATTATTACAAAATACAAAATTCTTACCTTGATCTTTTTCAATTTTCGAAAATCGGAAAAAGAAAAAAGGAAAAAAAATGTTTTTTTTTACCTTTATAATAATTACAATTAGGATTTAAATAAATATCATTATCATTAACCTGCAAAGTCTAGTTCATTCTCATTAAAAAAAACACTGTAAAAATATTATGGATTTATATATAAAAATGTTTTATTTCTTTTAATTATCATTTGGAAACTATCTAAAAGAAAATTAACAGTGTTTTCAAAATCTCCAACTAAACACTCTTTCAATTCCACAACCCATTTCCTAACATTATCAATACAAACTCTGTAATCGACATTTCTTTGTTGTCACTCCACAGGAAACAACTCCCGACTAACCTGCAAGATCTAGTTCGTTTGCATAAAAAAAACAGAAAAATATTATGGTCTTATATAAAAATCTCTATCATCTTCCTCTTGGAAACTATCTAAAAGAAAATTTACAGTAATTTCAAAGTCTCCAACTAAAGCCTCTTCCAATTCCACGATCCAGTTCCTACCATTATCATTAATAACCCTTCAATTATCATTTCTTTATCATCACTCCACAGGAAACTACTCTCGGCTGGCCTGCGAGATCCAGTTCGTCCGCTCGATGGGCTACTACCTGATCCAGATCTACATCCCATCCGGTCTGATCGTCATCATTTCATGGGTCAGTTTCTGGCTGAACCGAAATGCCACACCGGCTAGAGTGGCCCTGGGCGTGACCACTGTGTTGACCATGACTACGCTGATGTCATCAACGAACGCAGCCTTGCCCAAGATTTCCTACGTCAAGTCGATCGACGTGTATCTGGGCACGTGTTTCGTCATGGTGTTCGCTAGTTTATTAGGTAAGTATCTTAACTTTTTACCGCTAACACGCGCTAACCTTTAACCGCTAACATACTGCGTGGCATACCGCTATGCAATTTTTTATGCATAAGACAGTATAAACAAAGAAATGACTCTTTTTATCAGGAGCAAAAATTTATCCGTTGCGTTTTTTTTGCATCTGAGGGTATTAATCTGTAAGAAATCTGAGATTTTTAACACTAGCAACGAATTTTTACGATAGTCATTCAACTAAACGTAAAAACTCCAGACCTCTGAACTTGTGATGATGAGTATAACTAAATGCGCCTAATCTGGCGTCGATGGCGAGTCCCGCCGGCAGGATTTCACGGTTGTGCGCTGCGGAGAATACGAGAAAATAAGCAGTTTTCTGTATGAAAGCGTTAAAAATTCAGCAGCACTTAAAGTTTACAATCGTCAAGAGAGCCGCGCCATCAACATAAAAACATCTCCAATGGAAAATGGCCGAGCTCTCTGACAGGGCTCTAGTACATTAAAAATTCATTTGGGTATTTCTCTAATATTTGCCTGGAATAATACGAAAAATATGAAATGATAAATATTAATTTTGAATTTTGAAAATGTAAATACGTAATTAATTCAAAAACAAATTATATTATTTATAGAGCTGATCCAACTAACTTTGTCAGTTTCTTGAAACGGATGGAGGAAAAAAATCCCATGTAAATTTTAAGCTGTTAATTTTACAGCACTTACATTTTTTTAGTAAATAGGTTTTTTAAAGGCCTGCTTATGTTGTATACACATGCCAAATTTGAACAATTGTGGACAAGCCGATTTTAAGTAATTTAAGAAAAACTGAATCTATTTTAGGCTTTGGTTTCTATGTAATTTGACAAATAAATAAAGCTGTCTCTTTAGTTGTCAGTTTTAAGTCAATATTTTTTAATTCTCTTTCGTGTCGATTGCTGATTGAATCGGAGCCAGAAATGGCTCAAAACGAAATAAGTAAATTACTAACAGATATTCAGGCTGAGGCGACAAACGCCATATATCCAAACTACTTCCCTTTAAATCCCGAATAACTTATGAAAAGGAATACAAAAATTTTCAAAAATGGAAGCAATTAAAAAACGTGCGAGAAGAAATAAAGTTTTTAACCTATCCTCGCTGTTAAAGTATCATTTAATCTACCCTTTCGGTTAAAGTACTATTTTATCTACTATTTTTTGATAGATATAAGGCAATTTTAACAGTTGCTATGGAAAATTTAATTAAAACTGAACAGGTGTCAATGCAAAACCAGACCACAAAACATCCCCCTTTAAAATTTTGACTTATATGCAATGAAATGAAAGTAAAAGAAGCGCCCCCTTGAGTTTGTTTGCGTACTAAATCCATGAAATATCAATCTCTATATTTATTTTTTTTTGAATATTACAGAAACGTTTTATTAATTGTAACGAAATAGGTATATTAAAATGGCATTATACATATATTAAAAATTACATTAAAAAATTGTTATTTACATATACAGGGTGGTCCGAACTGTATTCCGGAAACTTCGGCGGCATATTCTGCAGATAAAAATAAGTAAGAAAGTTCGTATAAACGTATGTCCTAAAATGGCTTAGTTTCAGGGATACAGGGTGTAGAAATTTCGTTTTTATTTCTATCTTTTCCAAATAATTTCTGAAGTAAAGCCAATATTTGGCTGAAAGTTGGTGTCTGGGAGTTTTTTGACATGAGAAATTTGATTTTGATATCAATATGACTTCTATTTGAAGAGTACTTCGTAAAATAAGTACAAATACACCAGTAATTAATGAGGAAATTGCTAAAATCACACACCGAATATTCACAAAACACAACGATATAAAAATATTGACATTTTTAAAAAACAAATGAATATTTGTTAACTTTTTAATGACTAGCAGCGCTTCTAGTGTTTGTTTGCACAGTATAGCTTATACTTCCAGTCATTGCCATTACAGAAAATGTTCTGTGGTTGTTCTGGGATGTTTTGTGGTTGCGCTGTCTACACTACTACGTTATAGTACCTACGCTTAGTGTTTTCGAAATGTATTTTTTAGATTTAAAACTGGTTGGAATGAGGCAAAAGCCTAACGGATGACAACTTGAGATATGTTGGTATTTGCCTAGCTTTGCTTTATTGTTACCTGTTCAATTTTAATTTTAAAATAGATGCAATTGTTCTTAAATTACTTAAAATCGGCTTGTCCAAAATTGTTCAAATTTGGCATGTGTATTAAGTCAAGATAACTGAGTGGTACTATTTTATAGAATAACTAGCCTTATTTTTACGAAAGGCAAAATTATCATTTAATATAAATTAAAGCCTTGTTTTCATGCAATTGGTACATTAATTATTTTAACTATTTATAAGTTTTACAGCTATAAAATTCAATTTCGTTTAATTTTAATGCTAATGAACGGTCATGAACTTTAAATTTGAATCTAGTTTTTGCTGATTTATATTGTATAATCACGTTTTGTGTTCAAATACTCCATGAAATTATTTAGATTCCGTAAAGTTATATTGCATTACAAAAAAATACTATGAAATTAACATAGGAAGGTCGATTTGTCAGATTTTTTTCATAATATATTTTTCTATGATACTCATTTTATTTGACTTGAGTTTGATGTAAAATTAGCTGATTCGGCTGACTTTGCACTGCCTAATTTTTTGTTTTTTGTTGTTCTTTGCATTTCGATGCAAGTAGCTCTATTTTTCAGCTGTTCTCAAGTCAATTAGAGAAATATACCGATATTTTGGGTTAACCTCAAGGCCTAGACTGTGCAGTTTTGCATGACAGAAAGACTGTATGTGTGTGGCTAACATTAAAGTCTCAATCAAGCAATGGTCTGGTTATGTATTACATAATTTCATTACGATCTACTGAGAATCTGAAATAAATAATATTTAAAATTTTAAGAATTAATTTTGAAATAAATTCTTTAAAAAAAAATTATTTTTAAAAAGTTTAATTTATTTTAAATATAAATATAATAATTTAATAAAAATATAATAAATGTTTCCTTTTCAGAATACGCTACTGTAGTTTATATATATTTATAACAACAGAGACGTTTATTTCCATACGTTATTATTATATTGATCTCTGATTCAAATACACATTTTTTTAGAATAGTTTACATAATTAAGTATGTAATTAATTAATATTTGGACGGACATAATGGTGGTATATTTAATTAATAGTATATTCTTTTATAAAGATTTAAATAGTTTTCTTTTTGTTCACAAATGGGCTAGTAATATTATCGTTTTTAGCATATGTGCATTTTGTACATTTATTAATGAGGTCTAAATTATAAGAAAACGCATTTTTTACGAAAACTTGAAGGATTAGGTAAAAAATTGTAATACAGTGTGATAGACAATTAAATTGTGCATCTAATTCTCCTAAAATATACAGGGTGTTCCATTTAAATTAAACAAGTTATTGCCGTTTAAAGCTAGAAGCTATTAAAAATAAATTATTAGACACTCTGTACGAAGTAACATCACGATCTACTGAGAATCTCAAATAAATAATTTTTAAAATTTTTAAGAATTAATTTTGAAATAAATTCTTTAATTTATTTTTTTATTTTTAAAAAATTTAATTTATTTTAAATAAAAATAAAATAACTGTTTTTTTTTCTTTTCAGAATACGCTACTGTAGGTTATATGGCAAAACGAATACAGATGCGGAAAAATCGATTTCTGGCCATTCAGAAAATTGCCGAACAGAAAAAACTGAACGTAGACGGAGGCCCCGATGACCATATGCCCAAGCAAACAGTGAGTAATCGTCAAATTGGAGCTTTACAGCATTATTTACATAATATTCACACAAATATAACTTTCTAGTCTAAAAATGTTAAAGTATGTATGCTTGTAAACAATTAGTGTTTTATGAATGGAGTGTTGCGTCTCCCCTTTGTCTCCTCTTTTGTGAAAAACACACGGATGCTCCTCAGTGGGAACCTTTGTTCCAGGAGGCGGTGCGCTTTAAGGTGCACGACCCCAAGGCGCACAGCAAGGGCGGTACGCTGGAGAGTACCGTCAACGGGGGCCGAGGCGGCAGGGAAGGGGGTCCCGACGAGGAGGCCGGCGCCCCCATACCGCAGCACATCATGCACCCCAACAAGGACATCAACAAGCTGTACGGCATCACGCCCTCGGACATAGACAAGTACTCCCGAATCGTGTTCCCCGTTTGTTTCGTTTGTTTCAATCTGATGTACTGGATCATTTATTTGCATATTTCGGACGTGGTGGCGGATGATCTGGTACTGCTAGAGGTTGATAAGTAAGGAGAGTATAAGGAAATAAGGGTTAAAAAGCGATATCTTGACGGGTATTTTCGTATTTTGTTGTTAAATATTGTTATAGTTACTATTCGTTAATAACTTCTGAATTTTATGAACTCGTGGTACGACCAGGGATAAAAGAGCGTTTATTTTGAAGAGTATTCTCAGTTTTTATAGTCAAAAATTGTCATAGTTTTATCCGTTACTGTTTTCAAAACTAGTACCTTCTTAATTTTATGAAATCCTAGTACTAGCACAGATGAAAAAGCGTAAATTTGGAAAAACGTTTTTATATATATTGTCAAAAATTGTAATATTTCCGATACAGTTCTCTGAACTATGTAAATTTGGGCTGGCAAAGGTTAGTCTTGGGTCGAGATTTCCGTATGTAAGAAGAGTACAATGCGTTTATAATGTACTGAACAAAGAGAGGACAGTCAACACGTTGCCAAACGTATGAAATGAATCGAGAAACTGTGCACATTGCTAAGAGACGTGGTAAGGGGATATAGCACATTTCAGTACCTCTGTCAATGTTTAAAGTTCTAGGGAAAGGTACATCATGCGTTCAGCTTCACAATTTAACTACGTCTCGTGATACTTAATTTGTTTATTTATTAACGAGTTGTTGTAATTTTCCCTATAGCTTAAATTTTTTTAAGTGTAAGCTAGAAACACTTGCAGTTTTGGTAAAAATAAGTGGAATTGAGTGGGTGTTCGATAGTGGTCGCGCTATTAGAACTCTGAATTCAAAAATCGATATCTCGAAATCTATTAGAAATAATAGATTGTAGTGTTTTCAAGAACTTTGTTAATATTTCTGCTGTATTTTCTTTGTAGAGAGTATGTAAAAATCTTTATCAATAAAAAAATTACACCATTGCTGAAAATTGCTATACTCTAAAAAGAAATGGATGGATTGTTTACAATTTTTGAATGGAAAAAACAACCTTATCGAATTTTTCTTACGTAAACATATTGTAAAATATCCGATCTTGAAAATAAAAGAAAGTTTCAATATCTAAAGTGGTTCTTGAGTTATGGCCTGTTATGTGTTAAAAAGTTGAGTTTTTAAATTCATGGCCACTCGAATTATATTCACTTAAAAGTACAGTGTACTAAATAAAATAAATTGAACCAAGATAAATGTTTAATAAAAAAAATGCTATAATTTTACCCATAAAAAATCCAGACACGAAAATGAGTAATGACACATATATTTATACTCTCCTTTTCATATCCCAAATTACTTCCACTCCGATAAACGTATATTTAGCAGCCCGGTATCGAATAAAAAGAGAGAAAAAAAACGTGGAACAATAAAAATAAGCACGAAAAATTGAAGTGGAAAAAAGTTCGACAGATCAAACGACGTAAACGATGTAAAAAGAAATAAAAGCGTGCATTAATAAAAAAAATGGAACCCCAGGATATCAAAGAATAATAAAAAATATCAGTATTATATTTTATTTTTTTAGATATACCTACGGAAATAGATGTTTTTGACTATAAGCAATGAAGAATATGATTCATAAAAAACGCTCGAATATGAATATAAAATAATTAATCAAGACTATTATAAATATACTTTTATTAGTTTTGTTTGACATTGTATTATGGTAAAGAAATTAGTTAAAATAGTATGGTAGTTTTGGTGGCGTTATTTTACAGTGTAGTGCCAAAAAGTTTGATATATATTCCACTAATTTTTTTATTCTCTTGGTTATTGGCCTTAAATTTAATGTCATTGCATTAGTTTTAACACAGATATAAAATCTGGAAAAAAAAACAGTAAAATAAAAAATGTATAAGAAAATATAAAAAATTTAAAAAGTATATTTTAAATTCTACTTATTTAGATAATGTTTCAACTTTTATTTAGGTTTGACAACAAAAACAAATTGCTATAGACTAATTTCTTTATCATTAACAAATTATAACAATCATTTCGTGATAATTTAAAATTAACAAATTGTTATTTGTTTGTTACACCTATCTCTGATGAAAATATATTTTTATATAAATGTTTTCCCAAATCAACGTAATTTTATTTATTATAAAAATCAATTTGAAACCAGACTCATTATTATTAATAATATAATATAAAAAATCCATTATAAATCTATATATTTATATTATTAGGTAACTAATGATGTATGTTATTGATTTTTTGTTAAAAACAGAGTTGGGCATTATTATATACACAAAAATATATCTGATCATTAAGTAATAACACTAGTTAAAGTGTATCCAAAATTGTTTTGTTGTTTATGTTGAATTTCTTGTTAATTATGTTAGTATTGTTATATTTCTTAAATATTTTGTTGGGACAACATGAAGGGAAGTTTATCAATATAACCGTCTTTAAATGACGCTAAATACCAGAAAATAAAACTATTAGAAAAAGATTATTTATTAAATTTCGAATGTCTTATATACAGTGTCATTAGAAAAATACTCTTTAAGATAATACAATTTTTGTTATTTTTTAAGCAAAAAAATCAATTTTACTGTTTAAATCATAGAATATGACTAATTTTTTGAAAAAAAATATAAAAAACGGACTAAAACCATTTGGAAAAAGAATCCGAGACTTTTTTGATGACACTGTATATTTTCGGAATAAAAAACGACACAAATTATATTCCTCCGTTGATATTTCATTATACTTTCCGTAGTTTATAGTGATATACGATAATTCTAGCGAAAAACTTAATACTGTAGAGTATTATAAACAATTAATGATAAATATATACCGGGCGTTTAAGAAATAACGCCCGCCGACCCCCGAAACTCAGCACCCTTACGGCGGGCGTTCTTTTTTCCCGTCGCCTACTTCGATGACAAGCAAAACAAGTACTTAAAGCCCATGTATATAAAGTCGTTCCTGTTTTTATACCTAACGCGCACTATAATATTCACTCCAAGATGCAATTATTTTTAGACTAGAGATATAGCACTAAAAATAAGACATTTTTCGAAATATTTCGTATGAAAGTCGAATATACAAGGTGAGATGATTAAAAAAATCAAAAAAAGATTACAAAACTTCTACTCAAAAATGACGTGAAAAAAAACGTCAAATACGAACTATTTCGAGACTAGTTCTTTACAAAATAAAGTAACATGAAAAGGAATGATCCTATTTAAAAAGAAAATATAAATGTAACACGTCCCCCTACAGGGGACACGTCCCTCACAACAACGCCCGCACCGATATAGCGTTTTTGTACGAAATGTGACAGACAAACGCGACAAAGCAAAAAAAACTTGCGCTACGCGCGCAGAAACGAAATTCTAAAGTATGTAAAATAATAAATATTATTGTAATTAAAAAATATATATATTATACACACAAAAAACAACGTATACAGCGTGAATCTTTTAATATATATGTTAGAATATCTCTATTTTTCCGTTTTAAGAACTACAGTTTATAATTTTTCGATTTTTCGAGCTAAAAACGACATAAAACCCTTTTTAACAGATCTGTTTTTTGATTCACACTGTATACTGTGTCGTATTTAACCTCAAAATCGGGAATATTATTGAAATTTTGGTGGTTTTGAGGTTAGGAAAGCGACTCGTCTTAGATAGGTTAAAAACGCTCGTAGACCCAAAGGAAACAAAAGTTAAAAATATACCTAGTGAAACAATTAAATGAAGAATAAAAAGTTGTATATATTTTAGAACAACAGGTGAAATTTAAACAGAAACTTTAAAGTAATTAATGAATGAGGATATGGTTCTAAAGAAAGATGTCATTTTTTCGTATTGCTAGAAGTTTTGAAAATAAATGAAAAAGAATAATAATTAAATTTTAAGAATAGCGGGTTCAAGCAGGAAAATAAAACAAAATAAGAAAATATAATAACAGATAAGAAATTCTTGTAAACTTTTGAAATTTGATCAAGAGCAAAAATGGATTCAAGCAGTTCGACGAAACAAGTGAGTAAACAAAGTGCCAAGTACATAATCAAAAAATTAACTAGGCATACATAGGTATACAATAAATGGATCAAATATAATTTTCAATATCAATGAATTAATAAATTTTTAATGAACAATTTCTAAAATTATAATTATATACCTTTAAAAAATGTCGTTATAGCCCAAATCCAAATAGCCTCAGTTTTGTCTCCACTAGCAAAACCAGTGCGTAAAATTCTTGATTATGAACAGACAGTGGTAAAACCAATGACTAAAGAATTCAAGGACAAATAACACCCGAGCGCAAATTGTTACCATGTCACCAAACAGTGCCGTGGCACATATTTTTCTTAACTTAGCTGTTTGAAGAGATATTTGTATTTTTTGATAACTGTTTTGACTACGTCTATGGTGTATACGGCAGTATCATACTAATTAATTACGAAAAGAATGTATTAAAATGTTAACAAAAGGCAAGTATTAGACCTTCTGATGATATCAAAATATTTACTTTTTTCTTTTTTCTTTTAGAATTTGCACAAATTATACCCGTGTATTTGTTTAGTCCGCTGTTTACAGTGTTCTCCGATGGTGGCAACACCGGCGGAGAATGCACTCTAAAGAGGTCAATTAAAACAAAAAGTTTCCTAAAAAATGACATTCTCTACTGAACCATATCAAGATAATACATTTTTATTTAAAAACTTGACTTGTTGTTGAGTACTAATACACTATACAGTCACAGATTCACAACGTGTCGAACACGTTCAAGCATTAAAATTGTAGCACATTGCACAAAAAAGAGTCTGACATATATTGAGCAATACTTAAAATTTATTATTAGTACAGAGAAATTAAAAAAAAAACTACTTCCATTCTTTTCAAAATGAGAAAAAGTACAGAGAACTATTATCGATCCTAACTAATGAGAATATAGGGTGGCAAAAATTAGAAAACTAGTATAATTCGGGTAGATGAGTGACTTTTTATCGTTTTAGTCATATTTAGAGTTGAAAAATTTTATTTCTTTTACAACTTTTTCGGATTTTGTTCAAAGAAAATCCTAAGCAAAATCGAGGAAGTTGTGAAATGTTTTGATATTTTTTTGTAAATAATTTGTTTAAACTAGCTTTCTAACATTTGCAAATGGAGAATTTTAGGGAAAATTTAAACGCACTTTGCACAAAGCAGCGAGTGTAGCCGACAGCTGACGGAAATGTACGATGACCCAAACAACGTTTTCCTATTAAATTTTAATAATAAAAAATATCAAAAAAGCTGATTATTACTTTTTAACTTAAATTTAAAGTACTAAAATGTACAGGGTGTAAATGAATAGTAGTACTAAAAAATTCAGGATGTGATTGTATTTAAAATAATTAGGGTTTTCGATAAAATTATTTGGATATATACAGATCGAGTCTTAAATAACTGCCCTCATTTTTAAGGATTGCAGGAACACGCCGATTAAATTTTTTCGACAAGATTTTCTTTAAAAATTTTGTGTTTTTTGAAAAAGCATATTTTTTAAAAGCAATCACTTTCTGAATTTGTTTGGACATATTTAGTTTACGCCCTGTATAATTGTGAAGGGTAACAGTAAAAGGAATATAAAGAAAGCAAGAAATTAAAGAACTACCTAGACATTGACTAGTTTTGTAATCCACAAAAAAAATCAACAGATGTGTGTTATTTCACGATAAATTGTATTCTGTAGGTGGTGAATTCCAAAACAAGGTTTATCTAGTTCTATATACTGTGTGATCGAAAAAAATGCATCATACTATGCAGGGAAAAAAAGTACCACTCAGTTACTTCTCTGTCTAGACCAGAAAATATAAATATTTTCCAAAAGAAAACAAAAAATTTTTGAAATTTATTTGTTGTTCTTTGTCGCACTACTTTTGATACTTAAAAATATCCCACTACAAATAAATAAATCATTGTTAGGACAGTGGTTTTTATTCAATCACACAGTATATTTTCAAATTTCTGAAGAAATAAATAATTTTCTTGTATCCCCTATCATTTAAAAACAAACATAAAATCTTAACTCGGGTTGTTGAATAGAACAACATTATATATTATTGAAAATATAATGTTGATTTCATGTCAAAAAATATGGCTGTGCACAAAAAAAATTAGTAGATTAGTAACAAAAAACTTTTAGATATAAACTTAAATTTATTTTACTCTGTATACTTAATTTGTAATATGTATATGAGTAAATATTTTAATATGTCGTATAGGTTTTCAAAAGGGTGTTCAAAAGTATACAGATAATATACAGGGTGTTTCAAAATAAAAGAAATATTATTAGAGATTTCAACTGGAATATTAATACTGTATGCGATCCAATAAAAAACATCGTCACGGTAGGACTGTTAAACATTAAAATTACATGGCTTAGGAAAATAGCCTGAACCATAATGACAGTTTCTTAGCTTACCAGGCCGGTGTATTTTTTCACTATATTTATGTTTGATTCAGTCTGTATATTTTTTGACGCAAACCCTGATAAATATTGTTTATATATCAGTTATAAATATAATTAAATTATTAACTTTAATTTTTTAAAAATATTTATGCTTTTTAGAAACTAAAAACAGAAATGACTGCATTCTTGTTTCTGTATGATAGAAATCTAAGCGGTATATAATTTATCAACACAAGAGAAAGAAATTATTAGCCCATCTAAAGAAAAATAAAATAAAAGGGAAAACGATGATTTGTAGGTATATGTAGGTCAGTGGCGGCACATTCGTTGTATTAAAAAAGGGGTTTCAAAAGACTGTTTTTTAACATTTTCACGGTTTTTTCACAGGCTACGTCACCAGCTGTTTTATTCAGAGATGTAAAAGATTTTTTTTAATAAAAACGAAAAATATATATTTTTTTAAGTTTTAAGCTCAGTGGCGTATCGTGTGAACACTACGCTTAGGGTTATAACGTACTACTAAAGAAATATATATATAAAAAATAGTTAAAAAAACGGTCTCCACAGCCTCTATCTCCGCGTTGCGGGTGACTTATTGCTCACTTACATGATATTCTAAATAATAAGAGAAAAAGTTGTATGTATTATATTTGAATTATAAAACATTATAATTATTTAATAATTATTAATTACTTAATTATTAATTTTAAGAAGAAATAAGGACTACGTATTGCGTAGATATATACTGTTTGGCGTTTTTATTTGAGTAAAAATTTGTAAAAGTAACTCAAAGCGTCTTATTCCAATTATGTATCCTTTTCATCTGTTTCCTAGTTTATTTTTACCTTTTATGCTTATATTTTAATACAATAACTAATTTAATAATTAAGAAAATGAGAAAACGTAAAAAGTAGAGAGTATTTATTTTAAAATTGCGGACGCGCCAATTTTACGACATCCTTGACATCTATCAGGTAACCCTTAAAACAAAAATTCGTAAGTGTATAGGCAACCAAACATACTGCAATATTTTTGTAAGAAATGTCAAATCTAGTAATCTAGTCGAGTTGATCAAAATCAAAACACAAACGTAAATAAATAATTTAAAAATGTGAGAATTATACGAAACACAGATAGTATTTATTATGAAGGACGAAGAAAGAATTACCCGACTGGTTTACTTGAGCAGAATAATATTAATAGTGCTGCAATTTTTCGCAAATCAAGTTATCCCAGATCATGACGCCAAAGTTTTTCAGTATCCTGCAGAACAAAATAAAACCCAATACGACAACGTTATCAATTACTTCTTAGGAGGTTTTGTGAGGTGGGATGCCCAGTATTTTATGCATATCGCCAAGTATGGGTATACTTACGAAAATACTTTAGCATTTTTTCCTTTGTACCCTGTAAGTGTTGGGAGTATTGCAGATCTTATTTGCGATGTTATAGGAAGACAGTATGTGGACTCGGTCTTAATTCTGACATACATTTTAGTTAATATCTATATTTTTAAACATGCAGCTTTATGTCTTTATAAACTAACAGAGATTTTATTTGATAAAAAGACAGCCTACGATAGTGCTGTAGTTTATTGTTTTAACCCAGCCTCAGTTTTCTTTATTGCACCTTACACAGAGTGTTTGTTTAGTTTTCTAACATTTCAGTCGATTTTAAATTGTCTTACATTATATGAAAAGTATTCGAAACCTGATAATAAGTTTGTTGTAAAGGATCTTCTGCTGATTTTACCTATAGCTCTTAGCACAGCAACAAGATCAAACGGTGTGTTAAATATAGGTTTTTTAATTTATACTTTTATCTGTTTGAAATTGAATAACTCAAAGAAAAAGAAACAATCAATATTACAGGGTCTCTATACAGCATTGAGGTATGGTTTTGCTATAATTATGACTACTGTAGATTGTTTATTACCGTTTATTTTGTATCAGTATTACTGTTACCTAAGATTTTGTCAGACATTTCCCGTGAATTTACCTGGAGTAATTCTGGAACATGCCAGACAAAATAAGTTTATTTTACCAGGAAGTTACAAGAAGAACCAGCAAAAATGGTGTAAGAAAACAATACCTCTTGCCTATTCTTATGTGCAAGATCAATACTGGAACGTGGGTTTTATGAAATACTACGAATTCAAACAGTTGCCAAATTTTCTCTTAGCCCTACCTATATTGTGCATTATAAGTTTTTGTTCCTTCAAGCATTTATTTACTAATCTATTTAAAAGAAATCTATTTTCAAATTTATTTACAATGGGTAATAGTATTAAAGCAAACAAAGCCAAAGCAGGACTGTATCAACCAAAGTTAACTGTATTTTATATACATGCTCTTTTTCTATCAATATTTTGTACTTTCTTCATTCATGTTCAGGTTTCAACGAGAATTTTGTGCTCTGCAAGTCCAGTTTTCTACTGGATCTGTTCGAAACACTTAAACCTGCTCAGATTACCCTCAAAGTCTGATAGTTTACGAGAGTTGTTCCTCAGAACTTATGTTGTAAGTTACTTTATTGCTGGCACTATGCTGTTTTGTAATTTCCTACCCTGGACCTAAATGTACTGTGATTTAAATGTTTTATTTTACTAATTTTTAACTTTATGTATGATAGAAATAAAAATGCCATAAACTAAATCAATATTTTTTTATTGTAACAATGAAACTGATTACAAAAAATATATAGTTGTAGGGAATGTCAAAAATAATTTAAAAGAATACTGTAAAGAACTTAAATATATGAGTTTCAGTTCAGGAGGTTCTTACTGTTCTCCTGATTTAAAGTAGGACAATTTCAATTTAGAAACCTATTATTGCCAACTTTTGCTGAATAAATATATTGTGTAATTAAATTTAAAAATCTCCCAATGAATTTTTAATTTATATGCGAAAATAAAATACTAAACAGATACTTAAAAACACTACACTGATACCTCGATCCTCCTCAAATATAATATGAAATAAAACATACTAGAATAAAAAAATCTTGTACCAAAAATATAAAATGACACTTAAAAATGGGGATAATATTTAATAAAATGAATAAAACCCTATCCATAAGAAAAATTTTCTAAACAATACAATTCCAAGAGAATAAGTGGACCAGCCAGATCTAAATATTAATTTCCATTATTTTATTGTTTAAAAAACTGATCTAGATTTCCATTATCATTCTTCTATGAGTCAAAAAGTTGCTATGAATGGTGGTGATGACTTGTTTGATGCTGATGATGACTCTGATGTGGATGATGATTCGGATGTTGCTGATGATTTTGATGCATTCTTCTACCCCAGTAGGCTTCCAAATCAAACGGTCGAAAATCCTAAAAATTAAGACCACTCTTACTGACCCAAGTACATTAATATTTAACTTTTAGAGTTTACTTTTAAATGATGATTCTCATGTTCTTGATAATACATCACATTGCTAGAGCCCCGATCCATTTCTACTTTTGACCAGGAATCGTAGATGTACTTAATCAAGTCTTCGTGCTGAGAATTAATCGGTTGAGGCGTTGTGTGTTGATGTCTGTTATCATGATGCGAGGATGGTTGCCTGTTATCATAATGAGATGATTGCTGTCTGTGATCATGGTGGGATCTGTTATCGTGAATGTTCATACGGGATATGTTAGGCCTACGATTGCCGTTCATTTGACCCATATTAGTCATTCTGGGACCACTAGAAAGTAAATTGTTAATAAAAAAAAGTTCAGGAGTGTTGTTAAAAATTGTTAATAATCGCTCTACAATGGATTCTAATAACACTGAAGGAAAATGTCTAACAATTCACAATGTTTAACATTTAATAACACTTCCTGGATAGTTTAACGAAGCTATTTATAAACAAAAACGAATTTACTATCCTTCAGAACAGGAAGATCGATTGAATTCTTATAAAAGCGAATTTATTCGCTACCAAAAACATGTCGAGTCACTCACCTCATTTTATTATTCTATAAAAACAAAACGGTATAAAAATAAGGCAATAGTTTAGTAAAATAAACTGAAAAAATAAAAATGCTTTTAGGGTACAACAAACAAACGTCATAAAACTAAATAAGCTTTTGATTTTGATCGCCGAAACGCCATCTATAATTTGACATTTGATTCTATCCACAGAACATATTCAATCATTAAAATGATCTTGATTAGGGATGGAGAAATTTAGAAATATATCGATATCAGGGACAGAGTCAGGGATGTGCAGTAAAAACAGGTAAATATCAGTGGATTTCATCGATTTTTCATAAATTTTGCTATATTAATAAAAGAAAGTTCATATTCAGGTGAAAATTTGAATTTGAAATGTAGGAATGTAATAAATAATTCATTAGTAAATTCTGAATAGTTTATTTTCACTTTGATATGCTTAAAATTTTGTAAAAACATAAAAACTTAGGTACGAAAATCTGTTTGATCACAAAAGCTAGATTTTTTCTAAATTATCACATCCAAACCAAAAAAGTATTGCATGGTGACTTATACAGGCATATACCTTATATTTAACTCCTAATTGCATGTAACAAAATTAAATAAATTACTAAAATATCTTGTTCATCAATAACCAATCAAAATATTGAGCTTTATCTTTTTGTGTCAAACACAAATTTAATCTTAAGTACCTCCACTTACAGCTAGCCAATCTAGTAAAGAAACAGTAATACTGAAAACAAAATACAAAAAGAATGTTATTTGATAACTACCCTCAATATTTTGATTGAATCTCCTAAGGCTTATCAAAACACAACAAAAAAAAAAGATTTACTTTAAACTGAATAAAAATCGACTTCGCTTTTGTATTTTCTGGGCCTCGCAAATGGAGAGAACCACAAAAGTGAAAACCTTCCAAACACGGCCTGCATACTTTTCCATCTTGATTTCTTCACCCATGTGGCTTCTTCTTTTTTTAACTGTTCAATACCAGTTTCATCAGTCCATATCGCTTGAACTTGAGTACCTTAATACAAGAATATAATAGAATATAATTTATTAATTATCTATCTTGAAAAGTTTTAAAATTTCTAATTACCTAACATAACTGCAGTAAAAATAGCAAATAGCAGTGCCTCAAACATCAAGAAAAGTAACAATACAATGGTTACTGGTGGGGAATGACTAGTACATTCTTTCCATTCGTGTCGGATGCACATTAAAAACTGATTAATCGCTAAGAATAGTGAATGAAGAGATATAATACATATGTAGAACTGAAATAAAAATAGTTTAAATTCGGTACATACTGCAATATACTATTTAATTTCATCTTACTGTAAACAGTACAAAATATTTTTGATTATTTTCTCCTACACAGTTATTAACCCAAGGACAGTGATGGTCCATTTTTCTAATACACCTACAGACACAATTATTTAGTTCTAAATTAAGAGACCAATAAATAATCTATTTAACCTATGGCATACTGAACAATGATGTGCTCGATCTGGTTTAATACTACAACACTTTGGACATTTAAATATCACTTGTCCCTCCCGGAACCCCATTTGTTTGATCATTTCCTTCGTGGCATTACCCTTAGGAACCGCACCCTGTAAAAAATGTAAATAAACAATAAATACTTTAATAAAGCATAGAAACTACTTACCGGGTCTGTAAACATAGTCTTAAGATGTGATGCAAAAGCCAAAAAAGCACAAGCTTGGAATATAATGGTATTTATGACGCTATATATTGTATTACCACTAGGAATTAAAATAACAGACATAACTACAAATTCAGCGTAGGATATAAGTAACCATGTTAAAAGTGCACATATTAAGCCGCAAACATCGGCTATACACCATAACATTCCTCCGCAACATCGATTATGATTGTCCTTGTCGTTTCTGAAAGAATTGTACTCGTATTCCATTATTTTAACAAATTTATTACGGAATTTGTAGAGACGCGCTTAAAGTCCCTTCCTGACAAACATTATGATCATTTTGATAATCCTGCTTGAATCCACACTATTAGACTATACTGAGTTTACATAAATTATCGGGATACATGCTTAATACAAGCTTAATATCAGGGAATGGTAAATTGAAGGTATTCTGTATTCTATATTTAAAAACATCCAGAAAAAACTTGAGGAGATGAACTAGTCAAAATAAAACTCCACCTGACATTGACAAGTTCGACAAGATCAAAACATAGTAGGAATATAGGCAACTACTTATACAATTAATTTTAATTATTCAATAAAATTAAAAAGAAACAACGTGTTTCTTTAATTTATAAGCGAATACAATATTGGATTAAATTTAACATTTTTGCGCCAATCAGATATTTATATACTCCAGTTTTCAAGGAGCAAAAAAACTAAGTAGAACTAAGTACTTTTTCTTATACAACCAGCAATACATAATGTATTTATTTTGATAAAATTTTTAAGGTTAAAAATATATTTATAATTTTTTTTAAAAGGATTCTGAGAGAGAATAAGTTTTATATTACTTTCTTAATGCAATATCTTTATTGCTGCTATGTTTGGAAAAGGGTCCCTGAGTCTCTTGGAAGAGTATGGAGGAGATTCGTCTGATGAAGAGGTGCCAGGGCCTAGGGTATCGGTGAAAAGAACTTACGATAGTGATTCTTCATATCCTTCTAAACGGTAAGTATCATTTAGTTTACCCTAAAATATATAATGGAATTATAGATAATATACCATTATCATTCATAAAGTAGGTTACCAGTTCCATCACAATTTAGTAATAAAAATGAAAATGATTATGTTGATGATCCCTTATTACATGAGGGAAGAGTTCGGTCATTTGCACATGAAAGAGGTAATTGGCCAAGCTATATTTGTATTCCTTGTAAGTATACTCTGTTTTTCTTTTAAATAAAATTAATATACAAGTTTTGTTATTGATATTTATTGAATTTTAGTTGAAGCCCACATGGGTTTACAGAACTTTCTTTTAGCAATTAAGAAAATAGTCCCAGAGTATATAGAACTGAAGCAATGCAATGATTTTCATATTAGTTTAACTAAAACAGTTATTTTAAGGTATATATGGATAACACCATTTGTTCAATCTGTGCAAGAATATATAAAATGTTTCAATAAGTAAGTTTTATAGCACAATATAATTGGCTTAATTAGACTATGCGTATATTTTGTAGGTTTATGATTGTATTTGGTAATGCTAAAGTTTATTGTAACGAAGAAAAGACTAGAACTTTTATAGGGATAGAAATTAAAAGTGGATATGATAGTTTATTAAAAATAGTTGAGAATTTGAATCATTCTCTTAGTGAATATAAGTTACCTCCATTCTATGAGGTATTTATAAGATTAGTATAAGATTTCTATGTTTTTGTATAAACCAATTTTGTTCTTTTAGGATCCATCATTTCATATGAGTATAGCATGGTGTTTAGGCGATCGACAATCAGAATTAAATGATTGTTTACCTGAGATTAATAGCATTCTAGAGACTTTAAAAGAAATACACAATGATGACAATTGGTATATTTTTGTAGAATATTTATTGGGCAAGATTGGAAACAAACAATTTCAGTTTCATTTGAGGTAATTTAGGATCATAGAAATACCTACAAATTTGAATGGTATTTTGAATCTGTGATAACAACTCTTGTAAAATTGTAATATGAATAATTTTGGAAATAAAATTACTGTTTTGTTTAAAATGTATATATTTTCTACACATGTGCGTAATTAAACATAGAAAAATAGGTTGTTTAATTTATTAAATTAAACAACCAATTTTTTAATTAACTAATTTATATTATGGTTAATTTTTTTTTTCATAAACCATTCAGAAATCCGTTGTTTTCAAAGGTTGTTTTAAATATATGGGGCTGTATCGATAGATACTATCGATGTTTTATTGATGTATTTACGCGTTTTTACACTTTTTTACGTTTTGTCTAAAATACATGTAAAAATTTTAATTTAACTGGCCAAATGACTTATGTAAGTATAAGCCACTTAAAAGGAAAGAAGAGGATTCTATGTCGAATCTGTTGTTGCTCACGTTTCGAGCCGTAAAAATAAAAGAGAAGAAGAACAATACTTTGATTCTGTGGTTACGGTTCTTTTAAGACCTGAAATACGAAAAAGAAGAAGAATGCAGGTGGCGCCATTGTGGAAAAAGTGAGAAAATTTTGAACTAAAGTATTTCCGTTGTTGCCAAGATATTAGCAAAATCCTGAAACTAATATCAATATTTTTGTAAGTCTAAAATGTTTGTCCATAAAACCGTTACAAAATCATAATAAATCTAATAAACATTTGATACAATTTTTGTTTCAGCAGAATTAATATTATATTTTCTTCTAGACACAGCAATATTTATCCAGCAAAAAATGAGCAATCTGTTTTACAAGCATTCAATCTGACAACGTTGACGTGCGACTTTCCGTTGTTTTGTTAACAGCCAAGTCGTTTCAGTCGTTTAGGTTCCGCTCCTAACATTTTTCTTATTTTATGATAGAAAAAGCGATTTTTCTGTGCACTATTTCAGTTTATTCTGTTCCTTAAGGTCTGCTTAATCTCCTGAAAATGTAAGTACCTATTATTTTGCGTGTTTTCTATAGATTTTTTCACTTTCAAATATTTCAGTTACGTCATAATTAACAGCTTGTATATTTTTTCAATTTTCATAATTTTCGTTTTCAAAGTCGAGTATATGGAAATATACATATAATACGTTTCTTGATATCTCTATTGTACAATAAAAATAAATCTACTTAGAATATTGCTTCATATTCAGAAATATTTGGTATTTTTTCAGCCATTTTTTTTTGGTAGAGAGTTTAATAAAGATGTTTTTTATTCCTAAGGTAATTTTTTATGTGTTTGTTCCTACAGGCAATTAAAGTCTGTTTAGAATAAATCAGTGTTTGTATACACAAAGGTGTCCCCATTCTTCACAAATGCATATAAACAAGGATAATTCTTTCAGATTAAAAACAAAACGTTTCTCAGTTTTAATATATCATATAACAATCGTCATATGTTAGTGAAATTTGCATTGTCTTAATTATAATGTTCTTTTTTAGGAGTGTTATTAACAATGCACATCTGTCTTGCAAAGACCACCTAAAAGACGAGACCTGCAGTGCGATTCTGTAAACATATTTCCTGTCTAGTGACTCATCAATCGTATACAAATAACATAGGCTAGGCAAGAAATTTCTTGCTACGGAGCCTACTCAGAATCCCACAGCTGGGTCACCACATATAATTCTGATGTTTCTCTATTATTCTTGGCTATACGAGATTGGTTTTACATTATCCAGATAAAAGTAAGTTTATTTTATTATATATTTAAAAACAATTATCATAAATTTATTAATTGATTATTAACACACTAACCATTTTTTTGAGGATATAAAAAATATTAATATGAAACAAGAAAGACACAATAATTAGTATAGCAAGCTTAATTAAAGTTTAGTTTAGTTTAGTTTATTTATTAGTAATAACATACAAGAAAAGTATTTTTACAAGTCAAGAAAATATATAAAAAAAATGTAATATTACGTATTTCTTTTTTACAGCTTTTCTACAACAAATCGATGAATGTATACAGTTCCAGGCAGAGGCGCAACAGGGGGGCAGGAGGTTATAAGTTCTGGGTATAGCTAAGACTAATATCTCGGGACGTATTTGGAATTTTTACGATAACTCATCGGGTATAAAAGATAACCAATTTTTACTCTAACTTGTATTTTTTTCTACCTTTCTACCTTTTTTCCTACCTACGAGATTGGTTTTACATTATCCAGATAAAAGTAAGTTTATTTTATTATATATTTAAAAACAATTATCATAAATTTATTAATTGATTATTAACACACTAACCATTTTTTTGAGGATATAAAAAATATTAATATGAAACAAGAAAGACACAATAATTAGTATAGCAAGCTTAATTAAAGTTTAGTTTAGTTTAGTTTATTTATTAGTAATAACATACAAGAAAAGTATTTTTACAAGTCAAGAAAATATATAAAAAAAATGTAATATTACGTATTTCTTTTTTACAGCTTTTCTACAACAAATCGATGAATGTATACAGTTCCAGGCAGAGGCGCAACAGGGGGGCAGGAGGTTATAAGTTCTGGGTATAGCTAAGACTAATATCTCGGGACGTATTTGGAATTTTTACGATAACTCATCGGGTATAAAAGATAACCAATTTTTACTCTAACTTGTATTTTTTTCTACCTTTCTTAATGTGCTAACAAAACTGAAATTAACTTTAAAATTGTAGGATATTCGTTACTTTTACAATGTGAAATTAAAAAAAAAATTATTTAACTCACGCAGTTTAATACAGGATCTCTTAAAAATACGACCAGCGAAAAAGTAAAATTATTTTTTTAATATTCTGAACTTAACAGCCCATAATGTTAATATAAAAGCTCGACACGTATTTGATATTTTTGTAAAAACTCTTTTTGTGTCTAAAAATCTGTAGTTTAGCTGCAACTTTAGTAGTTTTCTTTTTAATTTCACATTGTAAAAGTAACGAAAATCCTACAATTTTAAAGTTAATTTCAGTTTTGTTAGCATATGTCTTAAGAAAGTTAGAAAACATACAAATTAGAGTAAAAATTGATTATCTTTTATTCCAGTTGAGTTATCGTAAAAATTCCAAATACGTCCCGAGATATTAGTCTTAGCTATACCCAGAACTTATAATTCTAGTTAAATTTTGTTTTTTGGCAAAATGACAGCAACACAAAAATTACATTCTTTTTTTTCCCACTCTGTATATCATAGAAAACTAAATCTCATACAAAATTTAGAAAAATCAGATCAATTTACGAAAACCGATCTTTAATATCCAAAAAAAATCAACAAAATTGGTCCATTTTTTTCAAAGTTACAACTCGTTGAAAATGAGTAAAAAAATCGCTGTGGTATTTAATTTTACGGACAGTTTATGTAGATATAAATTATGAAGAAATGTAATATATTTATTTTTTTTATAGATTTCGTACAGCAAATCAATGGATGTATACAGTTTCAGGGTAGTACATTTATCCTTTCCAACAATGGCATCAGGACTTATAAGTATATCTAAACTTTTATTTGTTTTGGGTAAATCTATTTATACTGGTATTTAACGTTGGTCTGTGGATTTCATGATATCTAAATTTAATTAATTAGGAAAGACTTACAATAGGTCTCTGAGTTACATTTTTATGGTTTCTTATTGCCACAGAAAAAAATTCTTACTATCTATTTTTAGTTTTGGCTTTTGGCCAAATTTGGCCAAGTCAATTTCTGGCTTTTGGCCTTTTTTTTTGGTATAGTAGCATCCACTTAGAACTTTACTTGATGGCGTACATCATGATGTTTTTTGTTATTTTTTGATTGTTATTTTTTTGGATTACTTTCTTTTCTCTATAATAGCTGGCATCCCATATTTTCTTGATTGTGGAAATAATATCATTTATTATTTCTCTAACATATTTCATTAACTCTATTTCTTAGTTTTTATTTCTTTGGTGAAATATACCATCTACAGAATTTTAGTTTTGATGGATTTATTTTCATGTCATTTTTCACAAATCATATGCCATGAATTGCTATAATTTTACGCATTCTGTTGGTTTGGTTTGCCTGTATTTAAATATAAAAAATTCAAAATGAGGACTAATTCCCAATCGATCCCTGGCGCATTCGCCATTTAGTTAAAATACCTGTTTCAGCCACAGATTGTCACTTCTGGATTTTCTATCAATTTTCCTATGAATTTTCCTGATTAACATCGACTCCAGAGTATCATAGCTAGCCTCCCCTAAGAAGAGGAGACCCGGGTCACCCCTCTAACCTGGGTTCTCTAATGTATTTTATTTCTTTTGTCAATATATAGTTGTTATTTTAGATTATTTTCAATCACTTTTTTCAATTGATCATACAAATCCATTTAAAATTGAGTTTTTGGATGGGATATTGTACTGCTTTGGAACAGCTGCTCTTCAACCACCCTTTTCAAGCTTCAAGATGCCATTAGGCTGATTAAATTCAACATTCAACAGTGGAATGTGGAAATTCATCATTGAAGAAGAACTAAATAACTTTAGGTAAATTATACTAAAAGATTTTTTTAAATCAAGTGTGTTTGATAGATTTAACATTATTGTATTTTGTAGATATAAATTATAATGAAGTGTAATAACTATTTATTTTTTTTTACAGATTTTGTACAATAAATTGATGGATGTATATACAGTTCCAGGGCAGTACATTTATCCATTTGATGAATATTACCAACGATGGTATCAAGACAGCTGTACCTTAATTCAACCAATTTAACATTCAACAGTGGAATAAGGATGAAATTCATTATTGAAGAGGAAACTAAATAATTTTAGGTAAATTATACTAAAACGTGTTTTTTTAGTCACATGTGTTTAATAAATAACTAAAAGCTATTGCATTTTGAAAAATATAGAGCTATAAATGATTAATTTCAAATAAAATATTTTGGCGCACAATTAACTTTAGTTTTACGCAACTACAAATACAATAATTTACTTTTTAACAGTTTTTAATTGTTATAAATAAATAAAATACCGTATGATCGAGAAAAAACGGCGTCAGCGATGGCTATGGAATGAAGATCGCTGTCATTTTATATGCAATTCTTTTTCATGTTTTTTTCCTTGTATTACTTTTAAAAGAAGTTCTTTATGTTACAAAGATTCCTATAATATTTTAATGTGTACCCTATCAATTTACTGGTTATTTAAAGTTATATTGTATGAATGAAAAAAAAACGGCCTCCAGCTGGCTTATTGGAAATGACGATCGATGACATTTCCCATATAATTTTACATTTAAAATTACGGCGATCTTCATTTCATAGCCATCGTTGACGCCGTTTTTTTTTCGATCATATTGTAGAAGTAATAGTTTTTAATCAAGCTTGTTAGTCAACTATCACTTAATTATTTCTTTATTTTTTTCTTACAGAACCAAGACTTTTCAGAAGGGTAGCCAGAAGATTTATTTACCTCAACATATAGACAAAAGCATGTCCATCAGCCACCTTGGATTTTAATATACATTTTATATTACTATTGTTAATACAAACTAATATGATAATAAAGAATAATTAAAAATAAATGAGTTTTAATCAACCAAAATATATTAGAAATACTGTCTAATCATAAACAGATAAAAAGTAATTTAATTGTCAAGAAAATAATGTATTCTAATACTAAAAAACGTAACATGTTGTTCAGGATTAGACAGTATTTTATATAAAAATAATACCTACTTTACCTCCTCACTCTTATGCATTCCTGATACAAATCCGAGAAAATTCAGCTTTTAACAAAAAACAAAAATTAACGAACATTTTTCACCTTGTCCAAAATGATGATTTTTATCAGGAACATATAAATGAGAAGAGATAGTATTTACCTAGTCGCACTCATGTACTCCTGATACAAGTCCGAGAAAATTCACTTTTTGACAAAGACTGCACGAAAATTTTTAAACCTGCTCAAAATCCGCCGATTTTTATTAGGACTGCATAAGGGTGAAGAGATAAACCGTAAATTTAGTACCACATGTAAATATAGCATTAATCAACGATATTTTTGCTATCTCTAGCAATTCGACCTCGTTGGAAAACTTCAACCCCTAATATCTCGGAAACTATAAGGGTTAGAGGGGAACGGAACAGCGCTTTCGATAGGCATTTCAACCCTCTATAAGGGCGCAAAATAAGGGCGAGAATGGAAACAAAAAAAATTTTTGGCGAAAAATGAGGTAAGGGGTTAAACCTTACTTCATTTTTGCCGAGAAATTTTTTTTGTCTCCGATCGTCCCCTAATTTTGCACCCTTATAGAAAATTGAATTCCCTATCGATTGCCGTCTTCCGTTCCTCGATATCTCTTTTAGTTTGGAAGTTATGGTCGATTTTTCAAAAAAATCTAATTATTCTAACTCGTTGGCCAGGTACTCCAAAATTTGCTAGGCTGAAATTATTTTTGACAGCTTTTGTTCAAAATTAAAAATCTTGAATTTGTATCAGTAACATATAAGAGCGTGGAGGTATATTTTGATACCAGGCGTAAGGCAGTTAGGTACATTCACCATTTAGTTAAAAATTATTAATCTAAAAACCTGATGACCAATTTCCAAATCAAATATGTTCTGATTAAATATTTTTCAGTCTCTGAAAATGCTGAATTTTGATCAGGAGAATATAGTATAGAATATTGTCTATTCCAGAACAATTTGTTAAGTTAGTCTTAGATTATATTATTTGTTATAATTAAATGTCATTTTCTATTTGTTCACGAATAGACAGTATAATATATTTTAGTCCAATAAAACTCATTTATTTTTTAATTATATTCTTTATTAACATATAAGTCTGTATTAACAATAGTAATATAAAAAGTATATTAAAATCCAAGGTGCTGATGGACACGTTGACGTCTATATATGTTGGGTAAATAAATCTTCTGGGTAGCTTTCTGGAAAGTCTTGGTTCTGTAAGCCAAATATAAAGAAAGAAATAATTAATTGTTCACTAACAAGCTTGATTAAAAATCATTATTTCTATAACATTAAATAACATCAGTAAATTGGTAGGGTACATAAAATATAGTATGATAAAAAAAACGGCGTCAGCGATGGCTATGAAATGAAGATCGCTGTCATTTTATATATGTAAGATTGTATAAGGAATATTATCGATCGTCATTTTGAAGTCAACTGGGCGCCGCTTTTTTTCTATCATACGGTATTATAAGATACAACATGATAAAAAAAAGGCGTCAGCGATGACTATGAAATGAAAATCGCGATACAGAATGTCATCGATCGTCATTTCAAAACTAACTTTTTTAGATGCCGTTTTATACGGTACATAGGAACCTCCAAAACATAAAAAAAATTGAAAGAAATTAGTTGCATTGGTAATTAAGAAATATTTTAATTATAATAATTAAAAATATTAAAACTCTTAAAAACTAAATAAAAAAACTAACTTTTAATATAAGCAACCCTACATACATTTAAGGGTATTTTTAGTTGCATAAAACTAAAGTAAATTGAGCGCCAAATTACTTCATTTAAAATTAATCATTTATAACCTTTGAATATTTATAACTATATTTTACAAAATACAATAACATTAGTTGTTTATTAAATATGTTTGATTAAAAAAAATATTTTAGTATAATTTACCTAAAGTTATTGAGCGAGCGCCTCTCATCATGAAATTCATCCTCAATATGCTGTTAAATGTTGAAATAATCAATGTGATGGTATCTGGTAGAGGCGATATCAGATTATACAAGGGGTGACCCAGGTCTCTTCTTTTAGGAGGTCTCTATGTGCAGGTGTGTATTGTTAATAACATTCCTAAAAAAGAAAATCATAATTAAAGCATTATATTAATACAATGCAAATTTGTTACAGACTACAGGGTATAATACTACATGGTCCAAAAAATACGAAATATATCTAAATATGGAGCACTGTACTAAGTAACTTACTTTTTAAAATATGCTATGCAGGTCTCCAATGGCCAAACATCAGAGTCAGAGGATGATCCAGGTCCCCTCTTTTGTGGAAGGATGCAGAAAGACACCGTTCTCTTGTGTGGTATTATTAACATGTCTAAAACAAAACAAAACATATTTAAAACACTCAAAACAAAGTAAATACTTTACTACATCTATCAAAGAATGAAAACGAGATACTGTTACCACATAATATATTCTCATAATTTTTTATGTTTCTCTAACAGTACGGAAATTAGGAAAACTATAAATGGGATTAACCAGTAAAGACAATCTCCAGACATATATTAATAAAAATAAAGCTTACTTTGAATTTCTTGTACTGCAGTAGTCGAAGATGGGGTTAAACCTTTATAAAACCTCCTCTTAGAAATCTTTGTTTCCTGATGTGATTTTTAATGTTTTACCTTCTTGTCCCCCAGCTAATTTAACCTATGGTCAAAGATAAATCCTCAGCCAGCTTTTAGATACGGAGGGTAGTAACTTTTTCGAATACCTGTACTTGCTATGCAGGTTATTGATGGTCGACCATCGAAGTTAGAGGATGTTCCAGGTCTCCTCTTCTGGGGAAGGATACAGAAAGACACCATTCTCTTGTGTAATATTATACTGGGTATACTAACACTGATGTATTCTAAAAGACCTAGAAATAGGGACAAAATATTAGTTTAGGAATAAAAAACATTGTATTGACATTCTATTGTACAATAGAGACATCAAGAAATGTGTCTATGTTTTCATACACTCGATTTTAAAAAAGAAAATTACGAAAATTGGAAAAATATATAAGCTTTTAATGATGATGTAATTGAAATATTTGAGAGTGAAATAAACTACAAAAAGCATCAAAACAATGGGTACTTACAGTTACAGGAGATTAAACAGGCCTTACGGAACAGAATAAGCTCAAGTAGTGCACAGAAAAATCACTTTTTCTACCAGAAAATCAGAAAACTCGTAAAAGAACTTCTGACAACGGAAAACGTTGCCCAGTCATGATCTTTTTTTGCTGCATAAATAATGCTATGCCTAAAATAAAATATTTATTCTACAAAAATAAAGTGTTTATTAGATTTATAACGATTTTGTAACCGTTCAATTCGTTTTATATTAACAAAAACAAGATTTAGAATAGCTGTCTTTGCTTAAAAATAAAAATTTTGGCGACATTTTAGATTTTAGTTCAAATTTTTCTCACTTTTTCCATAATGGCGCCACAGGCGTTCTTCTTCTTTTTCATATTTCAGGGCTGAAAAGAACGGTCACCACAGAATCAAAGTAATATTCTTCTTCTTTTTAATACTTCTGGTCTTAAATATGTGCAACCACAGATTTGATATAGATTTTCTTCTTTTTTATTTTTTAATGGCTCAAACTTAGATTGGTCATTTATAATCTATGGTTAATTATTAGACAAAGACAACAACAAAAATAAACAGTACAGCAATAGTAAATTATGGTGATTATTCTATTCTGGACATTCTCCTAAATTATTTTCTATTTATTCATCTTGTCTCTGTGTTGGTATCTGGGTGTTGTTAAACTCAGTATATTTCCTTCGGTTTCATCAGTGTATTTCTTTCATTTGTATTATCCTCAGGAATAAGAGCATATTTTAATCCTACCAATTTAGAGATAGCAGGTATTTTATAATGACTAGACACGCTAGAAATTGCACTGCTGGAGCAGTCTACACTTACCACGAAAAGAAAAAAGATGCCCAGGCTTCAGGCTACGGTACAAATGTGCAGAGACTGAGTAAAGATTCCATAAAAAATTTCGATGCATGCTCTCTATCATTGCAGCCTTGTAGAAATCCTGTTATAACGTAAGTTTTTAAAATCATTCTGTGTTCAATTATCTCAATATTTATACTTTAGGAAAGATGGTTATTTATTTGACAAGGAAGTAATTTTAGAGTATATTATCTCCAAAAAGAATGAGTACAGCAGGAAACTAAAAGAATACGACAGGCTAAAAAAGAAAGAAGATGAAGAACTGGCCAATAAAAAAGCAAGTGAGATTGAAGCACAAGTTCAGAAATTTGTTAAGAGTGAAAGCAACATTGTTAGTAAACCAATAGATGGGTTCAAGACAGGTAAAAATATGACTCACAAGCTGCTTCTTGATGATACACTATATACTTTTTAGAACCTACAACTTCATCTATATCAAACATGGCAAACGGTAAAGACAAAGTTTTGCCAAGTTTTTGGGTACCAGGGCAAGCACATAATACTGAAAAATCTAAACTTGAAAAACCCGTAAGTTCTTTATTTATATTAATAGTTATGTATTTTTTTTTTAAATTATATAATCTTTAAAGGATCCAACTATTTACTGTCCTGTATCTGGTAAACCTATGAAAGTAAAAGATTTAGTTGGCGTAAAATTTACACCAGTTAAAGAGGACAGCAAAAAATCAATTCATATACAGGAAAATAGATACATGTGTGCAGTAACCCATGATATTTTAAGTAATTCTGTACCTTGCGCTGTACTTAGACCAACGTAAGATGCACTTTATTTATTATAAAAGGAAGTAACATTAACAAAATAGAAACTTTTTTTAGGGGAGATGTAGTTACATTAGAATGTTTGGAAAAATTAATAAAGAAAGATATGATTCATCCATTGACTAACAAAAAATTGCAAGAAAAGGATATTATAATCATGCAAAGGGTAAGTTTTTGAGTTTTTTATAGGTATGTTGTATTAATTTTTGATATTTTTAAGGGTGGGACTGGATATTCTTCAACAAATGAACAACTGAAAGCCAAAAAAGAAAGACCAGCATTGCAAGCATAATCATATATAAGCATAACTACACATTATATATGTTTTTTACTTAATTTGTATTTACATATATTTTCTTAGATTAGAAATTGTTCTGACACTTTTTTATAAGTTCTGCAAGAAAGAAAATAAATTATTTATTTCATCATCCTGTATATTTGTTTAATTTAACTCACCTGCTATAATTTTATCCAGTGATTTAATAACCGGTGAATCAGGCACCTCTTCGATAAAATTTCTACCCTCGTCGCAACATCTGGTAACTTTTGGGTCCAATGGTAATGAACCCAGAAATGGTACATTCAACTCATTACACATCCTTTCTGCACCTCCAGTGTTAGCAGGAAATACTTCTGATTCTTTCTAAAAGTACAATTATTAGCAATAAAATTAAAACCCTTTATTATAAATGCTCAAAAACATACTTGACAGCAAGGGCATATAAATTTAGACATGTTCTCTATCACACCCAGAATGTTTATACTGGTTTTCCTACAAAAATCTATCTCTTTTCTCACATCTAACAGTGCTACTTCTTGAGGAGTGGTCACTATAACTGCACCAGTTAAGTTTGCTTGTGATAGATAAGTAACTGCTGATAAATGTTCATCGGATGTACCTAAAAAAATGTAAATAAATAATTTAATTATATAAAAAATTCATTTATTTAACCTGGTGGTGTATCCATAAGTAAATAATCAAGTTTTCCCCAGTCCACTTCACTCAAAAATTGTCTAATCATTCCATTTTTCTTTGGACCTCTCCAAATAATCGCATCATCAGGAGAAGATAACAGAAAGCCTATTGACATCACTGAAAGATTGTCATCTACATACTGCAAAACAAAACAATACATTTTTAACAATATTCCACCATTTTTTAGTGCAAAAATCATTTTACTTACTACTGGAGACCATCCAGATCCCGATTGGTGAACTTGTTCATCAGCTACCCCTAAGACTCTTGGTTGTGAAGGTCCGCATATGTCAATATCCAAGACTGCTATCTAAAAATACTTTTAATCAACATTGTATATAACAGAAAACAGAAATACTGTAAGGGTATTTATTGATTTTGTCTTATATGAGGTCATGCAATTTGCCAAAATATATAGGGCAGACATCCTGGTACATCATGGCACCACTATAAATGAGTATGCATCAAGAATTAGATATTGTGAAGGCTTTTGGTTTTGTTTTGTTTTTAAAACTAGTTCACTGGCTGGCTAAATATAAATATTTTGAATTATTTATAATCTCAGATATTACTTGTATATTGAATATTTCTATAAATAGGATTAGAGTTTTCTGTTTGTTAAGGATATAAAGGTAAAAAGAGTAGCACAAATGATGATTTTTGGGCAAGAAAAGGAAAGAAGAAGTAGATATAATAGAGTAAGTACCTATACCAATTATTCTATAATAATTATATGAAAATTTCTTACATTTTGATCATTATCTCTTGCTGCTAAAGCTCTACTGAGCAGAGCTGTTACAGTGCTTTTACCAACACCTCCTTTGCCAGAAAGTATCAATATCTTATTTTTCACAGACTCTAATCTAAAAAAATGTAAATATATATTAAAATAGCACTATAAATAGTACTGTGTTTAGAATAATATAATAAACGTACCTTTCTTTAACTAAAGCTATTCCTGGATCAGGACCCTTTGGTCCTGAAGAACAAATCTGTTGATTGGGACATCCAGAACATGCCGAAGCTTTGCCAGCCTGATCACTTTCAGTTCCTGGACAGTCTGAAATTATAATTAAGTGATAATTATTGATTCATATCATAGAAATTTAAAAAAACAAACCAAAACAAATGAGATTAAATAATTAATTCAGGAGAATTATCTGGACTTTAGAAATAGAAAACTGAATAGGCTAAATTAAAAAAAATTGTAAATAGTAAATTATTAATCCTTGTACTTACGTTCTGGGGTATTTTCGGGTTTTTGAATTACACTAGTCATTGCATTTAATGAACTTTTTAACTCTATGAATGAACTATTCTCTTGATTAATTCTTAATAACTTATGATAATGATAATTAAAATATAAAAATAAAAAACTAAAAAATAGAGGTTATATTTACACAAGAAATGTCAGATAAATAGTCAGTGGCGTGTATATTTGGATACGAAAAAATGTGTTGATTAAAAATATAAAATTAACCAATACACCCCAGAAATTAATTTTTAAGTATAATTTGTGTACGCTAGAATATATATTAATTACATTGATAGTACAGAGAGACTTAAGAAACGTATAGTAGCTAAAATAAATTAAAATCAACGTCAATGAAGCCCAACAATGGATACTAAAAAATTTTGTTTTGTATGCAACTAGTAAAACACATTTATTTTTAAATTAAAATTGCCGCCAATTCAAAATATCCCTTTGTGATTACAATACAAACGATATACAAAATTATGTTCAGCCTATATTTTAATTTTAGTACATTTTTGAACCTTATACATACAATTGCTATTGACAAGATAGTGACAGTACCTGTTAAAAAAAGAATGTCAATAACATAATTATTATGATTTTTTTTCTTAGAAAATTTTGATAAAATATTTTTTAAAAGATGACTCAAAGTGAAACAGTATTATATTCGGTATTTTACACAACGTTTTAGTTATATTTAGGACAGTTAAGTCTTTTAATAACACTTTTTTGTAGCAACTACAACCATGGAGCAGTGTGGGAGCTACACCATGCATGGAACAAGTAGCTGGACCACCAATGCCCACCAGAATAGGACAGTACTACCAAACACCCAGGCCTCATCCATGGAGACCCACTCTTGGCTACGAAACTGTAGAAGTAACACCATTGTAAATATTTCTAATGTTTTAAAGCGAAATTATAATACAAATATACCATATTTTAGACCAAATCAACATGCTACAAATGCCATGGTCGATCCATGTTACACTCCATATGGTATGGCGACAGAACCATTAAAATTTCCAAATTTAGTGACTGGATTTGAAAGAAACCCTGCTCACGCAGCTCGTGCGGCTTTGTACACTCGGTACACTCCATTAGAATGGACTCAGAGCAACTTGAAACACTACAATGAGTCGGACACTAACAGAAATTACTCAGAGAGGCTCAGAGGAGATTTTATACGAGTTATGAGGTAACATTTAAAGTTTGAACTATAGTTTTGAGCCACGAGCCACTGGGTATAACTTGCACTCTTTTTTGATGTAAAAAGTCTCAAACAGCCTGTCCCAAATTTGAAATATATCTTAGCATTTTGTTTAAATAGCAACTCTATTTTTTATGACTATTTCTAATACAGGGGGTATATAAAAAATATGCTGTTTTTTTTTCTATTCTTAACTTAAAGTAATTTATACAGGGAGACAGATGAAAAAACTGCTCAGGGGCAGAGGGAATCAGGCAGAAGATTGGGCGAAAGACTGACAGATACGACTTTTTGGCGTAACGAAGCTAGAACCGAATTGGAACGTTTACTAACAGAATCCAGCCTGTTGCAAGATTCGAAAAGAGCTATCGATAAAGCTATAATCGACATTGAGGCTCCGCTACACATTGCGCAAGAGTGTCTGTATAACAGAGAAAAAAGATCAGGTAGGTACAAATTAAACATTATCAATTATTTGTTCTGGAAAATCAACAAATAAAAACAATTTTAGGAGTTGAACTGGTCCACGATAGCCCCGAACAGTGCCTGCTGAGGGAGATCGAAACCTATCGAAACGCTCAGGCCAAACTCAAGTGTCTGGCGGGTAAAGTTGTCGATCAGCTGCGCAACAATAGAGCTGCGCAGCACGAGCTTGAAACTGACGTCAGAAGCAAGGAGGGCGCATTGGGAATCGATAACATTTGTCATCAGCTGAATAACTTCTCTAAGGGTATAAATTATTATGGTGGTATAGAGAAATTTGATCCTACGTGAGTATAGTATAATATTAAATTTAATACCTATATACAGTTGTTTGAGATCAATGCGCATTAATATCACATTATTAGCCCACAATTCCTTTAATACTATTTACAGATTTTACTTGTTAATATTGAAAGATAGTGTGTATGTTCAAAATTATATTATATTGTTTTATACTATGTTACATTAAAAAAAAAATTAAATAATATACAGACCATCATGTACAGGGTGGCTCGAATTCGACGCTCATCGTTGGGATTTCGAAAACCGTAAGAGATACAGGATCGGCTAAATGGAGGCAAAGTTGCGCAATTTGATGCTCAATAAAATGCCGTATTGCATTTTTATTTTTTTGCATAAAATATTCTGGTGATGGAATTTTCTGTCTGAAACGTCGCGTCAGCAAATATCAAAGTGACTATATATAGTGTTTTAAGAGTGATGAAAGGATTTAATTAAATTGAAAAAAAATCAGGTCCGTATTTAAAAAAATTAAGTTGATGATGGTCGCCAGAAGTCGAAACGTCAGAGTCAATATTTAATCATACAGAGTTATAGTGCAGAAAAAGTGGCCAGGAAAATGTGTTTTTCATTTTAAGTTATCTTAACAAATAAAGCCAGGAAACAATAGAAAACAAAATTGAAATTTCCGGTTTTTTTTCGAATATATTCGGAACTATTCGGAATTTTTGAAAATGCAATATGGTATTTTATTGAGCATCAAATTGTTCCATAAAATATATACAAGGTGTCCTCTAAAAATATAGAATCAAGTCCCTTCCATTTAAACTTGCTAACACAGCTTAAAGATTCTTGTATAAAAAATTATGTGAAAAATTAAAACCTAACTGAGGGGACACCCTGTATATAATATTTAAAAAATCTGCTTTAATAATTTTTAATGTAATATTGCAGTGTAAGTACCACACAAACATGGGCAGAAAACAGCAACAGAATAGTACAAAGGTCTCAAGCTGAAAGAGGCAGATCAGCTCAAATGAGATCTGACATCGACAATTTAATCAATACATGCGCTCAAGAAGTAAAACTTTATTTTAACAAAAAAATTATAAATTTCTAAATATGGAGTTATTTTTTTAGGTATGGGATGCATGGAGTAACTCTAATAATGCTCTAGCACGTAGAGCAGCTGAAACTCTAGAAGTTAAAAGCAAACTTCAAATGCATCTGCATAAGGTCAAAGACATTTTTTAACTTTACAAACATAATTTCTTTAAATTTAAATACATTTTCTAGGTTCAACAAGAATTATTTGACCTAGAAAAGAACATAGAGTTGCTTAAGAAAGCTATAATAGACAAGAGTGCCCCGGTGAAAGTAGCCCATACAAGATTAGAAGCTAGAACGCATAGAAAAGATATTGAACTATGCAGAGACCAAGCGCAAGATAGGTAAATATAGTTATATGATATTTCATTATCTAACATCTACTTCTTATTAAGTCACATTTTAGTAGCATTTAAAAGATTATATCATTATTAAACAAACTTTTAGTATATTTTTTGAACAATCCTTACTAGAATTTCTCTTTTTTGTTTCATGTAGATTGGTGAATGAAGTACGCGATCTTCAAGATAGTATTGAATATCTGCATAAAAAGCTTCAAGAAGCTGAAGCTCAACATCAACAACTCTTGAAAACTAGAGTCAACTTGGAAGAGGATCTTCACAACAAGTGTAATTCTCTGTTTATTGATAGAGAAAAATGTATGGGCATGAGAAGATCATTCCCCATCACTGCCACCATTAAATATTAAAAAAATATGTTTATATGTCAAATTTTCTGTTATAATTTGTATAATCTCGTAACTAAATTCATAAAATATTTGTATTCAAACAAAATAAATGAACATAACAATAGACATTAGCTGTTTCATTATACATTAAATGAAATATTCAATTAACTAACAATATTATCTATTTTAATATAAAAATAACTTATCTCACAAAAACTGTACAACTACCTCTTGGCAAATTGAGGAAATGGAAGTTTCATGCCTTCTTTGGCTTCAAAAAATGTATAAGACAACGTGATCAGGTCACAGTTTTCTAAAAATGGATTTTCTGTAAACTCTGGATCAATATAAAAGAATACTGGCATGTCAACCTACAAAAAAATTAAAGAGAATAAACATTTTAAGAAAAATAACTCCACATACTTGTTCGTTAGGATTTAACATTTGTTCTTCGAAACAAAAACATTGTATCTTATTAAAATACTGTCCTGCTTCAAATGGAACTACATTATAAGTACTGATTCCAACAACAGGTTCATTACTAGGATTCTTGGCAGTGTAAAATGCTAAGGCTGTTTCACCTGGATACACCTAAAAAACTTACTAAAGTCGTAATATCTAAATCGAGGAAATCTTACTGTTATCTCTGTCTGTTGTGGTTTAAAATTCCACCTCATATTTGAGGCTCTGTCAGCGTTAAATTGAACTTTAATAGGTCTACTCTTGTTGGGCACCATGCTTTCTACTTTACTACCATCGTGTCCCTCTACGACTGTACCGCCATAACTGTATGCTTGACAAAACATCCTGTATAGAGGCACGGCGGCATAACTCAGACCTGCTGTAACTATACCAACCGCAGTAACATAATATAATGTTGTTCTGAGGCCCTTTTTTCGGGCTTGTCTTAATTTATCAGCAAAATCGTAATAGTTTCGAAAGGTGTTTCTCTGGAAGTATTTACATTTTTCACATAAACCTTGATTCAAAAAGGACTTGGATCTATTAAAATATCTTCCACTACTTAAAATACTCCTAAACATGTTCAATTTCTTTAATATTTTTGTATTAAATTGATATCATTTTGATTTACATAACATAACCTAAAACTTTCCAATTCCAATACCAACTGAAGCATGACGAAAAAATTCAGTGTCACCAAAATAAAATGAAATATAAAAAAGGGCGGTGTATAAATAGTTGCATAAACATGCATAAATGATGAGAGGGAAAAATTTAAATTTAATTTTTTGTGATAATTAGCAATAACTTAAAACAGGAAAAGGATAAATGTAAGCGATAAGAATTAAATTTTAAATGCGAATTAAGGGTAATAGGCTTGTCGTTTATGGGCGGTGATGTGAAAAGTAGGTCAAAACTTACTCACATATGAGTTATTATAAAATCATATCGTTAAATATTAACTTAAGATATGCTTACCTCGACGGGTTACACCGCTGTAACATGGAAGGAAGTGTTTTAACGTAATTTTGTTGTTAATTCTTGAAATAAAATGAGCGTTTTGCAAGTTTTTTTTAACGTCCTGTTGAAACATACATTACAGACATAATATAAAGTAAATATATTTTTAAGAAAGAATAACATGAAGTTCTTTTTTATCAATATTTTACTGAGAGATATTTGTAATAACTATATTTTCTTGTAATATGTTATAATGGAACAAGCATATTTATGGCGTAAGACGTACATGCTATATACGTTAAAATATAATAGATGCGTTACGTTTAAATAGGCATAAAATAATTGGTTAAATGACGTGCAGAAATATAGCTAATTTAAATAGCTTATCTTGATATGTATTGGCAGCTTACACATCTTGATTGGATCATTTTAGCATTATGTAAAGTCTTATTTTCCCGGTGTTCTCTGCTCGGTGAGTAAAAGTAGTTTTAATTTTAAAACAAAATTATTACCGAGTATTCGATAATAAAGTTACAGACGGAAAACTACAGTGTAGACAGACGTACTGTACATAGAGACCACAAAAATAATTATATAATTGTATGACAGCAGTATATTCAATTTTACCACTGTAATGAAAAAAAAAAGTAGCATAAACTAAACAATATTTATGACATGCTAGCGGCACATTAACACATATTTTATTAAGTAAGTAATATTTTACATCAGAATATTTATATTTTTACGATGTTATGGTAATACTACGATTCCTGCACGAGAAAAACGAAGAAATATAAAAACAGAGTATATACTATAGTATAGTGTGTCCAATAAGAGGATCTCTGACAGTGACAGTTGTGTCTGCCATTTTAATTCACAGGCAAATAGTATTTTCTGCCATTTTCTGTATGTTCCCATACAGCACATCCAAATGAAATTACGTTTCTACAAGGAAGACACATGAGAAACAAAATATGTTAAAGTGAACCTAAGTGTTCATCTAGTTCTAACATATACATATGAGATACACGCAGGTTTATATTGATAGAATTGTGTGATACAGTGTTTACTTGTTGTATACCGTATGCACTCAAGATTCTAAGGAGTTTTTTGTAACGTAACAAATAATTATTAAAATGATGAAATCTGACGTCGGTATATGAGACATACAATGTATAAGTCATATGTATGTGTGATAGTTCGTATCATAGTTGTGCCTATAGTACACACCTTGTGAAAATGTGACGTATACACATAGTATAAATATCTATATAGACACTTTGTAATAGTGTACTGTTGTGTCTACATTCTAGCATGAAATGAAGGTGTGCGCACGCGCGGATAGCCTCAGCGTAGATACACTAAGGATACACTGACCAAGTGTATCTTATGTGTCCTCTCCCCTTTCTCCTTTCTAGGAGTGGTATGTGTTAGCGGCCATTATTGTTTTATCATTCGGAAGCTCTATATAAATGTTCTTTTTGTGTGTAGTTTAAAAGAGATTTTAAGGTAAGCACAAGTTTTTAAGTTACACCTTCCTAAGAGTATTATTAATATTATAGCAGCGACTCTTCCCTTACTCGATACCCAATTTACCAATTTTGACTCAATGAATGAAAACTCCAAATATTCTCGTATAATGATAAAGAGGTTAGCTCTGCAATATAATTTTTTAATTTGGAAATAATACAAATCTAAATGGACCAGAGAAAGAAAGATTTAAACACTTCAAAGAACTTCTTACACTGATATTCGGTAAGTTATTGATGGATCAATATACAGATATGTTTAATATTCAATAATCAGTTTCATATAAAATTTAAGGGTGAGATCGTTAATCTGGAAATAAAATACAACAAAGTCCAACAGAGTGCTTGATGAATGAGTATGCTAACAAACCAACTGCTTGGAGGGAAACAAGGTCCACCAAATCGGGCGATATACTAGTGTTTACCATTTTAGTATGTTGTTATACTAGGTACTTATATTTTTAATACATTTTGATACAAATTCTGTTCTTTTACAGTGTTTTCTTACTTCTGGTTTGTGCAGTGTAAATAATTATTATTATTGTGTTATTTGCGCTATTGCGTTCCATGATATAAAGAAATATAAGAATTTTATTTTTTAACCACTTTGTCCATTTTATGGAAGAAAATGGTACCTACATTTAATACAAAACAAAAATTGAACAATTTTAAGGCTACTTCTCTTGAACTTACGATCGAGATAGTTTTGGAAAATACAAAGTTTTGCCTTCCTAATTTTCGTTCTAAAAAGATATAATTGGTATCATTGAATAAATGTTTCTTAAAAAGAACGAAAAGTTAGGCATCAAAACTTGTATTATTTCCTAAATTCGTTCATAAGAAGTAGTTTTATCTAGCACAAGATGTATATACGAAGTAAAATACATATAGTATACACGCGGTAGTCACAACTGCAATGTGTAAACAGAGTTTAAACGTAATACACAAGCACTGTGTATCCTACGGCACACTCTGTATCCCTTACATTGTGTATACGTAAATGCTATACTGTGGCTACATTGTGAGGCGGACGCTTAACCTTTGTGCATATGTGTTGAACTACAATGTGTAAACGTAGCAGATTTACATCGGGGGAATTGTGTCACCCTGTGTCTATAATCTAATAATATAAACACATCGTAAATGTGATTTGATGTGCTGTATGGGTTGTCTGTCAAAATTTTTCTTGATTCGTTGGACAGATTATAATAACGGTTTCATTTGACAACGACTGACATTCTTGTCAATACATAATAAAACTTGAGTGAAACCCCTATAATTTGATTTTTAAATATTCTTCATCTTCAAAAATAAAAAAAAGTTATAGCCTATTAAAAGTGGGATAAAATAAAAAAGAACACTGTACATTTGTACAAGAAACCCTTCATGTTTTAAGATAGAGATGAAAAATAATTTGAACCCATGAAACAATTATCGTAACACAAAAAACAACCAGCGTAAACCAAACAAAAAAAGTTTACTACATTCCAGTAGCCTCATTTAACACATATTTTATTAACTCCACTAATTACCAAGCAATAAAATTGAATAATTTTTATTTCACGTATACAGCATCATCTGAATATTACATACATACTATATGTTTATGATGGACTATTCCTGCACGACACGCAACAACCTCACTCTAATTGCCGCAATTAATCGTACCAACTGATTAGAAACACGTTCGATACGCGCAGATAGATTCCAAAGTGTATCGGTAACACCTGATTCCATTCATAACTAAGGTCGCTTTAGCATTCCAAACACGCGGGTCAATTGAAACGAAAAAATTGATGAAAAAAAATTGGTGCGGGGTACCGTTGGTCGTACCAGAAAATGAGATCAGCAGAGTTTTAGTAGATTGCTAGATGCGGGGAATGGAAATGAGGATGGTCGAATGGTGTTAAGAAAATTGTACGCCTTGATAATAACACTTTTTTTATACAGGGTGTTTCAAAACAAATGCGAAAAACTTCAGGGGGTTATTCCTTGTTCAAAATAAAGGGTAGTTTGCTTCATAAACGTTGGGTCAAAAGTCAACCATTAGGGAGATATCGCGGTACAAAGATGGCGGAAAAATATTGTTTTTATTTTTTATCTTGAAAACGAAAAGAGATAGACTAATAAAATTTTATGGAAGCATTACTGTTATGAAAACACACTTTCTGGTAATTTTTTCACTTTTTTAAAATGATTGGAAGGGGTTGAAATTAACTACCCCTATCATTCTTGTTAACGAAATTTAAAGAAAAATCTTATCAAGCACATGCAAAAAAATTAATTTGGATAGTTTAGTTTGTTTAGAAACTTTTTTATCTCTTGTATTTTTTTTAAAACTCTCCGATTTGAAATTAAAAAAATAAAATGTAAAGCATTACATGTCAGGACTAAAAATATTTTTAGATTAAGAATTTAGTGATAATAATGATAATAATAATAATCTAGATAATAACGTATTGCAGTAGGGTAATGTCAAATAAAACAATATTAGAAACATCCTAAAAAGTGACAGCGGCCGACTAGATTTTTTCCTAAAAGAATTACAGCTGCCCACTAGATTCTTTATCTAAAAATGTTTTTTGTCCTGACATGTAATGCTTTACATTTTATTTTTTAATTTCAAATCGGTGAGTTTTATCAAAAAAACACAAGAGATAAAAAAGTTTCTAATAAACTAAACTATCAAAATTAATTTTTTTTGCATGTGTTTGATAAGATTTTTCTTTAAATTTCATTAACAAGAATGATTGGGGTAGTTTATTTCAACCCCTTCCACTCATTTTAAAAAAGTGAAAAAAATACTAGAAAATGTGTTTTCATAACAGTAATGCTTCCGTAAAATTTAATTAGTCTATCTCTTTTCGTTTTCAAGATAAAAAATAAAAACATTATTTTTCCGCCATCTTTGTACCGCGATGTCTCCCTAATGGTTGACTTTTGACCCAAGGTTTATAAAGCAAACTACCCTTTATTTTGAACAAGGAATCACCCCCTGAAGTTTTTCGCATTTGTTTTGAAACACCCTGTATACACATTTATCGGTTTTGGGATTTCAAAATTTACGCGGCGTATTTATATGCGTTTGCATTTTTGTCACTAGTGACCAGTGACTTATTTTATGCTGTTCATTTATTTATACGCGGTTTTATAAATTCCAAATTAGATTGGAAAATATTATACAGTATGTCCCCT